CATTTGGGGCGGGGCCAGCGGGCCTACTGCCTGCGGCCCCTCGGCATAGCCAACCCGGCTTCCATCTGTCTATTGGGCTGTGCGGGACCCACTTGTGCACTGGGCCTCTAGCATAAAATAATGATGAAAATGGATTATAGTGAGACTTACAGGGAGACCCACGTAAAATGAGCAGATTTTGGTCTCTGAGACCTATTTTGGCTGCTCAAAGGTTTGTCCTTGTTTAATTTTTTATTAGAATGAATTGAGGAAATTAAGTAACTTGAAGTTGCTAGTAGATCAATTTGTGGGGGATGAGCAGGAACAAAAATGAGTGAAAGAAAGAATTGAGAGATAAAAATAATTTTGGGAGTGATTCATTTGTAGAACAAATAATTGTTGAGTGAGCTTTGACTGGAGGGACTGGACGAGTATAGGGACTTTTAGGACCTGGTTTGGGTCTTCTGGAAACCTAATTGACCTAGTCTTGGCTTAGGACTGTAAAAGGAAAGGCAAGAGGATTTGGTTCTGCCCCCTGTATGCATCCCACTGGGGATTGAGCCCACAACCCAGGCATATGCCCTGACCAGGAATCGAAACCATGACTTCCTGGTTCACAGGTCGATGCTCAACCACTGAGCCATGCTGGTCGTGCTGACAAAACACTATCCATTTTGAACCATTGCAAAAGTCTTTTTATTACAAAAGTAATGCATCTCCTCTTATAAAATATTCAAACAATATAGAAACAAAATGAAGAGGTGGGATGGGGAACCCATTGCTGAAAGAGCAGTCTTCATTGTGTGGAGTTCTATTTTAAATACATGATTTCCTGTAAAAAAAGAAAGGGATAAATTTAAGCTATATAATAAAGCATTTTGAGATATATAATAGACTGATATTTATACAAAATTCTTAAAAATCCTGAAGGTTGGTGGTGTGATGGATATTTAGAGGGAAATGGAGTGCACAAAGATTTTTAAAGCTCAGATCCATAGTCACTTAATTTTTTTGGTTTGCCATTACTTAACCCCATTGGGGGGGAACAGGTAGGTTAAAGAAAAGTTGATATTCTTCTGCAGTGCAGATCTTACTGTATCAATGAAAATGACAAGAAAGAATATGTGGTATACAGATTTAATCCTTCAGTCTGCTAACCCCTGCCACTCTGTGTTTTCAATAACTAGACAAAAAATAACAACGCAGCTGACATGAGACTTTAACTGTACAAGCTGAAATGTAATTATATTACTATATAAGTGCCTTAAAGCTGGGTATATACATTGAAAGTTTTTTGTTATTAATCCTCACCCGAGGATATTTTTTCCATTGATTTTTAGAGAGTGGAAGGGAGGGGGAGAGACAGAGAAACATTGATGTGAGAGAGACACATCGATTGGTTCCCTCCAACACACCCCCTGGACGAGGGGGGGGTGGGGGGGGGTGGGATTGAGCCTGCAACCGAGGACCTGCCCTGAGACCGGAATCGAACTGGGACCCTTCAGTCGGTGGGCCAGTGCTCAATGCCAAACCAGCTAGGGGCTACATTGAAAGTTTTTGATAAGAGAATTGTAAAGATATGGTAGTTTTAATTACTATAAACAGCGTAATGTGCTATACAGTAATCTGCAAATAACTACATTACTGTTATGTATCTGTATAATTTTTTTTAAGGTTTCTCTATAAGCTGACCCATTTTATTTTTTAAAATTTATTTTTATTGATTTGAGAGAGGAGGGAAGAGAGGGAGAGAGATAGAAACATCAATGATGAGAATCATTGATCAGCTGCCTCCTGCACGCCCCCTACTAGGGATCAAGCCCACAACCTGGGGTGTGCCCTTGGCTGGAATCAAACCCAGGACCCTTCAGTCTGCAGGCGGACACTCTATCCACTGAGCCAAACCAGTTAGGGCTAATGTGTTTGTTTTTTTTAATGTTATTGTTGAAAGTATTACATATGTTTTCCTTTTCTTCCATTGATCCCTTCTAGCCCGCTCCCACCCCAGGACTTCACCACCCTATTATCTGTGTTCATGCGTTAGGCATATATGCATACAAGTTCTTAGGTTGATCTCATCCCACCCACCGCCACCTTGCCTCTGAGATTGGACAGTCTAGTCCATGCTTCTATACAGTCCTATATAATAAAAGGCTAATATGCAAATCAACCGAACTACAGAACGACCAGTCACTCTGATGCACACTGACCACCAGGGGGCAGATGCTCAGTGCAGGAGCTGCCTCCTGGTGGTCAGTGTGCTCCCACAGGGGGAGCCCTGCTCAGCCAGAAGCTGGACTCACGGCTGGTGAGTGCAGCAGTAGTGGCGGGAGCCTCTCCTGCTTCCCAGCAGTTGGATGTCTCCCGAGGGTTCCCAGACTGTGAGAGGGCGCAGGCTCGGCTGAGGGACCCCGTGCCCCACACCCACCCCCGAGTGCACAAATTTCGTGCACTGGGCCTCTAGTCCTATATAATAAAAGTGTAGTGTG